ATCAAGCCTAATCTTGTTGAGGCTTCAGGACAGTTTCTAAACCGCAATAAAATAGGGTAAGTGAACCACCTCAACCCAGTCTGTTGAGTTGCGCGGTAAGGCTTCAGAGAACAGATAACCGCCGCGAGGACAGGATCCAGCCCACTCCTCTCTCTTTTTTTTCGGATATCACGGACCTTGGCTGGACTTCCCGCAACCCCTTCACAGTTGACAAGGCAGATAAGACCTCCCGCTCGCCTTTCTCTGAGTGGGGTGGAATTAATAAACTGTGCGAAGTTTGGGATTTTGGGGATGGAAAAGATTTTGAAAAAGTTTCAAAAAAGTTAAGATCGCTATTATACTTCCAAAAGAAAAGAAAAGCAGCTTAATAAATACCCAAACCTCTCAGCTTCGTTTATTTGAGCAGAAGTTTTGCCCTCACTTTGGAAGGTCGTGGTTTGATTTTGCTGAAAGTACTCTAGGGATTGCCCGAAACTTTCCTCTTCGGAACCAAAACTTTAAAAAAAACAAAAACGGGGAGATTAATTTTCCAAGAACCAAAGTCTGCTTCCCTTCCAACGAATACTAGCGCTGAAGACTGGTCCGACTGAAGGTCGGGGACACCCCGCAGCTGATTTTTAGAAACAAGATTGGGGGGAGCATTTACGGTGCCAGTCCAGCAAGAGGGAGCTCAATAAGAGATTTGGTTCTCGCGCCGGTGTGGCCCGAGATATCCGCTTTTCAAATCTACCAAAGCTAAACACCCCTAGAATGCAGCTTCCTTAAGGGAAAAGTTCTGCCAAATGCTGCCAAATTGGGGAGGGGGGAGAAGCGGAATCCCAGAAAATGAGGAGGGGGTTGTTGATTTCCAGTGAGGGTCGCTGTCGAGTCCTGTGGTCTTCCCGGCATTTCATCCTTCATAATACAATATTAAAAAAGACAAGCAAGAGAAATTCGTGACAAGCGGCAGGATCGATCTAATCGGACTTTTAAAGGTTTACAAAGAAATGGGTGAGTCAAGGAGGCGTTTCCGTCGTTCAGGAGTTTATATTGAAGTGGTAAAAGACTAGACAGGTAAGATGGGGACTTTTGATGGATACTATAATTACACAGCTGAGATCAACATAGACTAAGACATCATGCCTATCCAGTTTATTGATTTCAAAGGAAAGCCGGCTAAGGACGTTAGAAAGCGTTTTTATATTTCCTCCAAGATAAATGCCGCTGAAATCATTGGAACTTATTTCCTGATTTGCCTTAGAATTGCCAGCCTCATTTCATTTGCAAAAGGCGCACCCTTTCCATTACTTGCGGCCTGGCCTTCAAGCAGGAGTTGCCAACCGTGCCAATCGCTTCTTTAACAGTAACAGGAGAGGTTCTCAGGAAAAATCAGCCCGTTTTATAAGAACACGAGCGCTTGAGTTGATGAAGTTTCTAAATCGAATTAGCCACTTAGCATATGGAAACTGAGACGATCTGATGAATTGGAAAATGAAAAGTAGGGCACAATTATTATACAATATAACTAGATGGAGGCTAGAAATGGGGTCAAATATTTAAATGAAGGGTGCCAATTTATTTTCAAATTAACTTTTCTTTTTAAAAAAATGCAATACACAAATTAGGTCTATGCATGTCCTTTAGGAAACCCGGAGCTCTGGTCCACAGGGCGCTTAGGATTTCGCGGGATAAGAACGAAGAGCAGATTCAGACAGCTTTCGCTGAATAATCTCCGCCTGTCAAACGCTGGAGGCTGGGATGGTCTTGCTCTGGTCTTTGGACTTATTTTCTCAGCTGAGAGAAGTAGGTCAGTGGAGCACATGACAAAGGCCCAGGCCAACCCGAAGCAGAGGCAGCCGCAGAGCAGATAAGCGCCACGAAGCTTTGGCAGATGAATTCCGAATTCGCCCAACTGGCCCCTACAACTTGCGAGTCCAGTAAGCACAGCCCTGCCAAAACCAGCAGTATGCCAATCACTTTGGGCGATCTTGATCCTATATTTTTTCGCTTACCTACCCACCCGCCCATTAGTAGTACTTGTCCCTATCTCACCTGGACCAATCGGACGCAACTGATTAGCGCAGGGTTGGATTCAGAAATAACCCTCCCCCCAGCCAACCAAAGAGATCCATTTCCAAAAGGCGTGCTTAGCCATCTTTACAGAATCTTAACCGCGAGCGAACTCTATGGGAGTTATTCCCAAGTAAACCTGCATGAGGGGGGGATGGCACTACCAACGTCTACTTCGAAGTAAATTTAATTGAATGCGGTTGTGGTAGTAAAGTAGTTTTCGGTGTACTTGACAGATTCTGTCAAATCGGAAGCCTAATTTTATGCCCTCTTCTTTACCAATCATGTTTAGACCCCTCTCCAGGGACCAAAGGCAAAGTGGACGTCCACTGCATAGAAAAGCGCTTGGAGCGGGTGTATATTTCTTAGCTCTTCAACAGTTACGGCGGAGGAATTTCAAGATCGGGCGGGGTTCTTATAGTTTACGAAGCAGGACCTTCGTCAATCTAAGAACTTAAAAGCCTAGTTTCTGCCCAACTACCCGAGCATTGAAGTCCTGAGGTCAGATCCTTGGAGGAGTCCCATCCTCGCCGACTCCTAGCAATAGTCCGGCAGAAGCCGCGCATCCCTTCATTAGACCCCTAAGTAAGGACACTCGAGACCGCTGGGTCGTTTTACAGCCACCCTCCCCTGTCACCGGAACATACAAATATTGTACGTCTCTCTGCACTACCGACCTTTTTCTTGGCATTCATTCTCCGATTTAGAAAGGAGTCGGTTGTTTTGACCAGGATCTCCCGCTGTTTTAGATGGGGAAGGGGTCAACAAGTAGACAAACTCCGCGCTTGCTTTGTGGAAACACACCCACCAAGTATTTTCTACTTGAACTGCACTTCATATGCTTTAAGAAAGTGACAATAGGATATCCTAATTAACAGGATCTTCTTCATCCCCCGTAATTTCTTCTCTTATCCTCAGATGTATTCCAATCATTTAAGTGAACGCCTGCCATTTTTCGGTCATGTTAACCAAGCAGGAAAGTACCTGCCGCCAGAGAAGAAAGTTCACCTGTATTTAGGCTGTAACTAGAGCGGGTTTACTTTAAAAGGGGGTGGGAATGGGGGTGGGAGTGGAAATGGCGGTCTTTAAAAAAAATAAAGGCCTTTTTGCTTGCAATCCCGTTTTTTAAATGAATGGGGATTGGAAACAAGATCTGCATTAATCTGTAAATTTGGATGTTTAAAAGTAGACGCGCGCCTTCGGGGAAAGAGAGCGAATCTAGGAGCGTCTCTCCAACCCAAACAACCCAATCTACCACTAATCACTGGGTATGCAGGAGGCCAATTTCAACAGGATTGTGCAATTTAACCAGAAAACAACGCAAAAGCTCTCTATACCAAAGATCCGCGAGAAATCTCCTCTGGACGGTGCAATGGGGTGAGGAGACACAATAAGGGATAACGCACTGAAGGAATGAATGAGGCTCTGGATTTATATTCTGTCGAGGAAGTGAATTATTCGAAAGTGAGAAGGGGGCAGGTCATCCAATTTCCTTTTGGGATTTGAGAAGTACTGTACTGATAGGAGTGCTCCGTCAATTATGATCAATAATGCAATCTTTGGATTCTCTGTCTTTCTCTGCTCCAGCCATCCTCTTGCTATTCAATGTTTCATACCCTAATCAGTCCACAGGGAAACATGCTTAAATCTGATAAATACATTCAGAGACTTGAATCAGTGAAAATTATCTCAAGGCCACAGAAAAGTTGATACTCAAGGAATATATTTGGAAGACAGAAGCTGGGAAGGATGGCAGGTGTGTATATTGCTGCTGGTGGTGAAGTAGGTTTCCCACTTGCAGACAGCTCAGCCTTTCCTCCAAATATTTTAAGAACCCCCTGAAGTCATCTTCAACACTCCAAGTTTGGCACACTGTACAATAAGCCTGCAAAGCCACAGAGTGCCACAGAGTGCCATGGCTCCATGGTCCATGAAATGGACCATGGAGCCATGAAAAAAAAAAGATTAATAAGCATCACAAAGGATAGGAATTGGATGCAAAAAGACAAATGTCTATCTAGATGGACCACGAGTTAAAATGATTGAATGTTGTCCAAAACTGCACACTGAAAAGAGTGAACTGATCCATAGTATTCTGCAGCTGATTCCATCAGAACTTTTTCTTCAGTTCTGGTGAGTGCCAGACCACAACTCCAACATTGCCAGCTTGCATTTTCCCTAAGAAAATGTACGTAGCATCTAAAGTATTTGGGATAGTGGGATGGAGAGCTTAGAAAGTTGCCTAAAAAGAAGCCTCACTTGCCAGCTTTACTTCCAATCCTGCTTGCCAAGCATCCTTTAGTCAAATTAGTAGTCTAGACCCAGCTCTTCCCAGAGTCCTTTCCTTCTTACTGCTTACAGGCCATATACACTTGTTTAACCCAATTTGGTTGCCTTCATTGGGCTGGAGTCCAAGGATGGCATACCAGTTTGGAATAGGCTGGTCTAAATTTCCAATAAAAACTATACATTTTTAACTAGTTTCTCCTCCTCCTCCTCCTCCTCCTCCTCCTCCTCCTCCTCCAGGCCTAGCAACCACTATCTTTCTCCGTCTCAAATTTCCCCAGTCCCATTCCAAGGGAGCATCTCTGCTCACCAGCGTTTGCTCAGAAGTCGTCAAAGTAGCAAAACTTCTGCCTGCTGTTTTTGCAGAAAGGAGAGGGACCTTCAAAGAGATCCTCAACCCCCAACCGCACCCCAAATGGCGGCGGGAGGCGGTAGGAGATGGGAGACAAGACACAGACATAGACCATATCTGCCAAAAAGAAAAGAAAAAAAGAGAACTTTCTGATAACGTGGCAGGATCCACTACCTCCCCCATCTCTAACCCTTCTCCAGTTCCCTTCAGAAGCAGTTCCTAAAGGTTGACTCGCCCGGTCCTTCCCTCCCTCGCTCCCCACCCTCTTTCCCTCCCTCCCCGGCCACGCCGAGGACACCGTCCCGCCCTTTACCTCGCATGGTGCTGGTGAGTCCCCGCTCGGCGCGGTCATGTAGCTCTCAACTTAAATCCCCTCCTCAGCAAGAGCGAAGGCGGCGGTTGTAGAGAGCCTGTCCCGCTGCGGCAACCATTCCTCCCACAAGGTGCTTCGTCTTTCTTTTCTTCCCGCTCCTTTTAACTTTCTTTTCTTCTTTTTCTTCTTCTTCTCTCTCTTTTCTTTCTATTTCGTCAGGGATTATAATCTCTCTCTCTCTCGCCTCAGCCGCCAAAACGCTCTCAAAAAGTCTCTCTGGGCGACTCGTTGGATTCGAGCGGGGTCGGTCGTCTTCCCCGCTCCTCTCCCGGCCTCCGAGCGCTCGCTCGGTCCCTTCTGCCCGGGCTTTTCAAGTCCGCAACAACACCCGACTTGCGAAGCTTTCTTTTGTGATTCCCGCAGCCTGGAGAGCGGCGGCGGCGGCAGGAGCCGGCGGGGGAAGGGGACTTGTTGTCGGATGGATGGTTGTGAGGAGGGGGGGGGGGGGGGAGAGAAACAAATCAGACGAAAAGGGAAAAAGGCGGAGGAGAGGAGTTGCGCTTTTTGGAAGGAAGGGAGGAAAAAAGCCCAGCCACCGCAAAGAAGCAAAGGAGGAGGAGGAAGAGGCGGCTACGGACGGTAGAGCCTGTGCGTTTTCACACAACAGTTGTGCCTGTTTGGAGCAGATTTCCCCGACGCGTCTGTTTTCATCCTTCGGTTGTTACAAGGACACGCAGGAAACAGGAGCGCGAGGGAGCTTGAGTGGGAAAGCTGCAAAGAAGCTTATAGCGGAGGGCGGGCAGCGCCGGTTACTTCACGCTCCGCCTCCTGTCAAGCCCCTCGGCCAATCCGAAGCTGCCGGAGTTAGAAGCCCTGGCGAAGGGAAGAGTCTCGGCCTGGGCGCCGGAGGAAGCGACTGAGGGGGAGGGGGGAGGCGGAGTTTGGCAGACGCTTTGTCGAGAGCGAAAGCTGGGCGGGGCCGAGGGAAGGAGGAGACGTACAGGGAGCGCGCGGGGGTGCGCGTACGCGCGCCTGCCTTCGCTCGTGCTCTCTGTGGCTGGCGGCCACGCTCCGCTTTCTTGATTCCCTTTCGTCGCTTTCTGGGCGAAGCCTCGCGCGCTTCAGACGGTTTCTTAACTTGCGGTCGGCGGTTTGAGGTGAATTAGTCTCCGGAAAAGCTTGGCTCGGCGTCGTTGGAACTGGGTCCTCTCACTTCTCCGCTTCTCTGTCCTGCCGTCACCCCGAACAAGGGGGTGGGAGGGATTGATTTCCTGTTCTCAAAGCGCTCCCGTCCCACCTTGGACGGGTCTGAAGAGATTTCTTCGCTCTGCTTCTCTCTGGCTTCTCTCCTTAAATTGATTAGAAGGATGTTTTTGTGTGCGCGTGTGTGTGTGTGTGAGAGAGAGAGACGCGGTTTCTTAACCTTTATGTAGTAGATTTGAGTATATAATAAAGCAATAAGCAGATCTCCAGATGCCGTTAAGAAAGACTTCAGAACTGTACAGAACTGTTACAGAACTGCAAAATGAAATACAGATGCAGAAGAACATGACATTGTTTTTAACTTTTAGATGATATAAAGTTATCTCTTATACAACAGGATCCTTGGATGCAGGTGTTAAAAAGAACACAAGATCATCCCATCCATCCATCCAATCCACAACCAAGTAATTTATTTTAATTAAAACCAAGAAAAAAGCCACAAAATTGGGGTAGTATAGAAATCAGCTGAAAGTGGTGTAGAAGCCAGCTGAAACACACAATATTGTGATCCTTTTTTTCTTCTGCAATTATTTTGGGGCATATTTATTTGCATCCAGCCTTTATTATTTTTAGAAACAACCCAGGGCAGCAAACATACCCAACATACTTACCTTCTTTCTCCTATTTTCCCCACAACAATAACAACAATCCTGTCAGGTGTGTTTGGCTGAGAGAAAGCAACTGACCCCAAATCAGCCAGCTGGCTTTCATGACTAACTCATGGTCTCCTGCTTTCTAGACTGGTGCCTTATTTATAAGACCAACATATAGTATATTAACTGAAATCAAGTAAACCCAAGCTGTTTTAAATCTTTTTTTCCCTTTAAATTTTAGTCTATATTATTAATCCACTTTAGAAATCCAGGATAAAGTACCTTCACTTTTAGAAAATATCATGCAACTTTCCTAAACTGAAACTTACATACCATAGGCTCTTTCTCTACTGCTGAGTTAAAGTCCTCTTCAATAGATCAGTGCAAGCTTCCAAAGTTACTTGGAAAAAGGATTCAAAACTTACATTAGCAGAAGCACAGCAGTTCTCTGCTATTCATTAAACCAGGCAGATTTTTTGGCTGGGCTGGCACCTTTTTTTAAAAGTGCACACAGAAGTCTGGGGAAACATTGGGTGGCTTTAATTAATTGTAGGGAAGTGCTGCTCTTGCATACACTGAAGTCTCAAATAGATGTTCTGATTTTTTTTGAAGCAAATACAGTGCTGCTATTTGCTCATACTTGAGTCAAAAATCAACTGGCACGAAACTAGTGCTCACCTCTAATGTACTTTTTCCAGGCAGTTGACTTGGAAAACTAGATATAAGAGCTTTAACTCTTGCTATGGAAGTGTGAATAATTAGGGTCAGACATAATCATAGATGTTTCCTACTTTCATTTTAATGGTTAAAATTATGCTATCTAGAAACAAGTGATATGGTACAGAGTACTCATAATCCTTGTTTGCAGAGTGATTGATGATACTAGTAATATTCTGGCATAGAAATACTGTAATTGTGTGATGGAGATCATTGGCATTAAATAGTTCCCCGAGCTGATTATTTCATTAATTTACTTCTTTGCTACACCCTTAGCATTAAACCATGTTCATAATGATGATCCTTTTTTCCATTTGGAACTCATGTATATCATGAAATAAATAGGAAAAATGATATAGAAAAACTGCATACTGAAAAATCCAAAGCCAAAAACAATACCTTACTTTGGGACGAATTACTAAAAGTCTATAATATTTTTATATATGTATTTCCTGATTACAACTGCAATGCATCGTGCAATTACTATTGTAATTAATATTCATATATGCAGGGTTTGTTTGTTTTTTGTAACACAGTTTGGTCAAAAGTGGAATATCATGAGATTTACCTATTTTCAGTACAGAAGGCTGATATATTACAAGAACACATTACTGTGAAAAGTTTGGAATTGTGTTAGTGAAAGTTTCGGGAACACATTAATTTTCTTTCATAAGAGTTTCTGTGAATTTTGATGTAAACGGCATTGCTCCTATTCTTGTGTCCTACAAACTGGTGGGTTAGTACAAGAGTTCAATGCCTTTTCAGATGTGTGTTCTCATCCACTTTTTAATTCTATCTCAAAAATGCTTTCCTTATTCCATTTCTGCTTTTACTTAACAACATTTATGCTTTTATATTTTTCAATACCGTTTCTCAGGAAAAAAATAAAATAACTGAAAGATAAACACAGTGCACAGAAACAGTAATAGAAGCATGAAACTAATAATAAGCTCATTAAAAAAACTAAATATAATAGATAGAATGAAAATCATACTATCTGAGATTGCAAAATTCATGTACGAGAGAGGTACATCCATGTTCAGGAGGACATTATCTGCAAGTTTGGGGAAAGTCCAAAACACACAGAAGTAAAAATTAATCAGAAAAAAATCCTTAGAATCTCTTTCAAAATATCCCCCAGTGAATGCTAAGCACAAAGTGAAAATCCAGATATATGGAATAGAATGAAGTCCCCATATTATACAAAGGAATTCTAGCCATAAACAGTCATAAGCACTCCTTTGTCATGAAAGTCCTCTTCTTATTTTTCTTTTTTGCTTAAAGCATTAAAGCATAACGCTGAGATCCCTAAAGGCTTTGTTGCTTTTGCTGCCGCCACCAAACCCTAGAATTTGAGTCATTTTTCTACAATGCAGTATATAGGTATAAACATTACAAGATTACATAACATGATGAAAAGCAGAGAAGATACATACAGCAGTCACTTTCATAACGCTTAAACAAGGAATCAATTAACATGTATTAAATAACTTAAAATTGACTGTAAACAAGTATTATTACAACATGTCCAAAGATTATTAATCACCTTCCCTGGAAGTAAATATCTATTTATAACTCTGTCACTTTGACAGATGTAAGTTGTCTTAGGGCTAGGATTCCAGGTTTCTGTCAAACCTGTCTGTCCACCAAAACCTCTTAAATCCCTTTCTCCTGAGTTTGCTTCCTTGCTCTGGAATATAAACTGGGATGAGGTGTGCTGTGTTATCATTCTTTGATTGACAGATCTAATACCCAATCATTACAAGCAGTACTCCACAGATCTTTGAAGGATGCTTTCCTTTGTTGAAGGTTCAAGTGAAGCACCACTTGAAAGCTGTTTCTCTTTGCCTGCTCTGACCTTTAGTAATTCCACTAGCTAGAAGAGATTTCTGCAGACATGCAATTTATATATAGAACCTCTTCCAGCTATTTGAACTGCTGGCTAAGGCTTTAAAGCAACACAAAGCATCTCATTTAGGAGAATCTCATTGTCTCTTCAACTCCATAAAACAAAGTGCATAGTAAAAGGAGCTACATCAAGGCAGAGCTAAGCTTTTTCATTATCATCATCATCATTATTTTCTGTTCACAACTATGTGAAGTCACAGCTCGCCAGTTCTTTAGTATTTGCCTTCATTCTTATTGAGTTCTTCCAAAGAACCTAGAATGTTGTAACATAACAGTGTAGTATATGTATGGATCCAAGCAGTGTGGACTTTTGTAATTGAAAGATGGAAATGTTGTCAATGCACAGATTTATTCCATGCAAGATTTTTTGGTATGGCATTCAGTAATAACTACTGAGCCAATTTATGCCAAAATCTTTCAACTTTGATTTATAGATCTTAATACTTTATGATCTTCTCCAATTCTTTGTCTTCTATTGTACTATCATCCCTAGTATTGCTACCTCAATTCATCCACCTTTTTTTCTTTTCAACCACATTTAAATTTGGTGTGTTATGTACCAAGGTTTATCAGTTTGTATTCATAAATCCCACAATATTTAACTTGCTTGTTTTTATTACATTTAGTTTATTCATTGTTGAATGGTTGGTCACATAGTCAACCCCATGTGTAGACTGAATCTGTTATTTTTGTCCATCTATTGAGACCTTCCCAAGAAACTGTGATAGGCAGATGTTGTAGTTTAGGGCTGTCAAACCCGTGGCCCACGAGTCCTCAACTAACCCTAACCATGCCCACAATGAGTTTAGTGAAGGGGGGAAAAGTCCAGATATGTCACATGACACCACCATGTCGACAGGAGTTTGACACCCCTGTTATAGTTTGATGGTGTAAAATGTATTGTCACAGGATGTAAATTGTTCCAAGCAAAGGTGTATTTTTGAATTGTCTGATAGTGATTTTGTCAATTCTGATGGTGTCCAATTGGTGATT